TAGTTTTTTAATAAGGTTCTCTTGGTATGTTATTAAATACAAAGCTTTCATTAGTAAAAATGTGTGCAGTCACAGCACATACACTAAAATTTAAGTGAATAAAAAAGAGTTCTATGGAAGTAAAAAAAATGGCAATTTAAAATTCACCTACTTCAATATTCAATGGAAGATGTAGACTACCATAAAAAAGTTATGTACAGCCCCAGCTAGTTGGCTCAGTAGCCGGCTGACTGAAAGGTCCCAGGTCCGGATTCCAAACCCCACCTGCAGGAGGCAACCAAATGGGTGTGTCTCTCACATCAATGTTTCTGTCTCTCCCCGCCTCTTCCACTCTAAAACTCAAAGGAAAAAATATCCCCAGGTGAGGAATAACAAAGAAAAAGTTATGTAGAAAATTACAAGTTGTGAGCCTGCCTCACAAATAGTTCAGTTGCTATACTGAGACTTTTCATTTGATAACACAGTGTTCCTTTTGAAACTGCAAACCTGTATATGCTGTCCAATGCAGTAGCCAGTGGGCATTTATATGGCTAATGAGCACTTGTAATGTGGCTTGCCTCAATTGAAATGCGCTGTAAATATGAAATGCACACCAGATGGAAAAGACATACAAAAAGAAAATGTAAAATATCTATCAGTAATGTTTTATACTGAGATGATAATATTGTGGATAAATGGGTTTAAATTACAAAATTAATTTCATGTTTCGTTTTACTCCATTATTGTGGCTACTACAAAAATTTTAATTACATTCGTATCGTGTATTTCTCTATTGGACATCGCTACGTAGACATGTTTCTAACAACTAAATACCCTGGCGACTAAGAAATGTTTGCGCGGGTTTGGGGTGGAGCGGAGGGTTGCGCACAGTAACAGTTACTTAGTTACCTGCTGGTTGAGGTCCGCGCCGTTCTGCAGCTGCCAGAGAAGAAACCAAGCCCGGCCGCCACCTGCGGCCAAGTGGACGGGCGACTGCTCGCAGGGATCCGGGGGTGCGTTGACCGAGGCCCCGGCCTCCAGCAGGTGCGTCAGATTCTCCACCTGCGGGAAGAGAGCAGCTCCAGCACACCCTTGCCTTTGTCCAGCCCCACGCTCTCCTGGGGCTGAAAACCTCCCAACTCTGCAGAGGCAGCGCCCAGTGGCCACACTCCACAGTCACCCTCGCCAGTGCTCCCAAGAAGACAGACATCTGGAAGCTTCAGCCTGCGGGACAAAAAGGGTCCGAGTCTCACCTCTGAGTTGCAATCAAACAACAGCATTTTCCGCCTGAAGCAGAGGACAGGAGTCGTTGGGCGTGCAGGTCGGCGAGGCACTCGCGGCAGACTGGCAGGTACGTGTGCAAAAGCCGCCCAAGTGCGGGAGAATTTAAA